TAATATTTTTTGGTTATGTATGTGAAATTGTAGAATTTGTGATTTTATTGATATATTTTTGTACAGCGAGTACAAGGATTTATACAAACAGCTGGATACTATTTTAGGTAAAAGAATCCTAATTGGGGATTATGTTCAGAGTGGGAATGTGATACATTCAGTTTCTAAACCTTTCATATAATGTGATTTGGTCAGTTGTGTTGCTCTTTAATCTTCGAACTTTAAAATCCTAGCTTTATTTCGTAGTAGCAATGGAGGATCAGAACTTCATTCATTTGAACCATTTCAGTATTGGCTTCCTATTTTTGTCTCTTATTCTTCTCGCTTCCGAAACTTACCTAGCTCTTGTTCGAAATTTTGGCACGATTAATCCGCCATTCCGAGTTCATATAAACTGGATTGATAATGGCGTGTTGTTTCACTTATCTAACTAGTCCGAATTTGGTTTTGGCTTTAAAAGATTCAAAACCTTGTCCCCAAGATTGGTTCTGCTTGTTATTGTCCACATGGACAGTTCAACGGTTTTAAATTATGATAAATTTGTGTTTGATGCCAAGAGTGGTGTGTTCTTGTAAAGCAACAGAAGATTGAAAGAAAATATGACAAATATGTTGAAAGGTAAAAACTTCAAAGGAGATAACATATGCTTTGAGTTTGATTTTTTATTTTTTGAATGGGTGTAAAGATAATTTTACATATCGATTGGGTTTGTGAGGATAGTTTAGGTAGTAAATTTAGGTTTAAAGAGATATTGATAGTTTAATTAAAAGAGCTACTAGACCCACCCTCATTGTCTTATTTTTCCACCCATGTTACAATCCCACCCATCTTAAAAAGTTCAAATAATTAAAATGTTATTTTCCCACCCACTATTATTCCCAAAATAACCTTTAATATATACGTACATATGAAATTATAAAACTTGTCTCTTAAAAAATATAACAAATAATATATAAATGAAAACCACTAAGGTTTGCAAATTCAAATGGAAACAACAAAGGTATCCAAATTCAAAAGAATTCGACAACGACAAATTTAAAAATACGATGAACAAATTCAAATGACCTACACACAAATTATTCTTCTACATTTTCAATGGAAACACAATCTTCTACTTCTTCTTATAAGCATCATCTTCTACCTGTTCAATGAAAAAGTCATCTTCTAAGTCCATTGCTATTTTTTTTACTTTCTCTGAATGAAAGGAGATGAAAATATGAGTTAGGGTTTAAGTAAATAAATTGTCTCCCATGCCCAACCTTTTTTTTGTTCTTTTAAATTAAGCAAAACAAGATAATTAATGTCCTTATCAGTCTTTTTGCAAATGGACAAATTTGTAATTAAAAATTCATTAAAAGGTGGATGGGAAGATAAGACATTGGGATGGGAATAACATCACTCTTAATTAAAAATAATATAGGTATAGAGAGTAAGTTGGGTGTGAAAAGAGGTTAGATGGGTTTAAATAAAATTTCCCTATTTGTTTACAAGCTTTGTAAAGTTAAACCAATTTGCCAATTTTGAACGAGTCACTTCAGACCTGAAGTTCCAGTCACTCTAATATCCCAATATCATTGACTCACAGCCCAGATATTTGATTTCAACCTGACCAACTTCAATATCATGAACCAGACGAATAAAAACCTAGATTTCATCCCTTCGGTTCCTAATCTCTTTTCCCTTTTCAAATTTCTCCCTTGTATAATATCAAAGAGCCTTGCTTTGATACCACTGTAGGATTTCACATGGCTGTCACAGGATCTAACGCTAATGTTATTAGACTATTGATTACTATGCGGTAGTGTCAAGGGAGAAATAGCACACCACAGGAAAGAAGACTGTTTCACATTGAATGAACTGGCTAGAGGAATGAATCCTCCTTTTGTAGACTTTATCGTATCATTTCCAAAGTTGTGAGACTTATCTGAATAGTCTTCTTTTATAATAAAACACATCACTTATAAAAGAGTATATGATAAGTCATGGTTAAGAGTATATCAGTGCACCAATCTTACGGTGCACTTCAGTTTGTGTTTGCTTAAACTACCTTCATTTCCCATTGTTTTATACGACTTTGTTTAAAATACATGTATTTATTTTTATTAATATTACTATGTTCATGACGTATCAATTATATCATTCACCCATTTTATAACATGTGAATTAGTATCATTATCAATATCATAACATGTGAAATAGTAACATCACTTGACGGTGTAACCATCACCAAGCAAGACTCACTCTTAACCAGTTCCTTCCAAGTAATTAAGAATATTTATTTCTGACATTCGAAATGCTAGTTAGGTAGAGAAAAAACTGAGGGTGTATCCAAATACCGCAAAATCCAATTGAGTGGTACGAAACACACTTCTCTGATAATTAATTCTTTCAAATAATGAAGAGAGAGAACTTATAAAACAACAGATGTTGGAAGATTAAGTGAATCCTTCTCTCAAATCTCCTCAAGCACGTTAATATTCTTCTTTTACGTCTGTGTTCTTGTTTTTCTCTTCTCCTTCACCTGCATAATGCATCAACTCAATTGGTTGAAAACTGTTTGCAGACAGACCATTACCAATGTCGAATGACAGAAAACTCTCGGCTCCGATCCTTGATCCTGATCAGCATCCAATTACGAAGAGCTTGCTTGAGTCGCTCATGAGTTGGCCATAACGAACACAAAAGCTAGCCGTGGCTTCATCAACAATTTGATCAAGAGGGATCCGAGGGAGCATATAAAACAGTATTATTTTTGGCATGACGCTGTGGTGGCTTCGTTCAATAGTGCAAAAATGAAGACAAACTACGAAAATCCTATGATAGCCAAATTTCAAGTCACAATGCGAGTAATGCTGAACTGTGTTGAGTTCCTAAATTTAGACCTATAAACTCCTTGGGTTGCTTATATATCATACTCCGTTCATTCATAGACCCAAACAATTCATTTGTGATCACTTTAGCTTGAATTTGAAAACACATAGCTTGAGCTCTTATGTCTCTCGTCATCTCCAGCACCATTTGCAAATGCAAGAGTGTCTCAATTAGTTAGGAGTGTTTAGCAAGCAAACCCAAAACCAATTCGACTACAACTATAAGCAATGCGTAAAATCTCCTTGGAAAGATATTCCAACTCGATCGGCATCTAATCTCAAAGACGAACTTCCTTATTCATTATCTACAACGAACTTTTGGGTCATGTTATATAGGGATATTGCATTCCTTGTTACTTCCCAGTTATGAGATAGCTAGGAAAATATGTGGGAATAACGTATTAAAATTTAAACGTACTTACATACGAAAGAATGCATCTATGATTACTATAGAGTAATGATAAGAAGATCAAATTTTGTAAACCATGTGACATGATTGTTGATGATTGAATTATTATGTAAATAATGATTAACGAATTTATTTTCTATTGATAACAAATCATTTGGTTTAAAAATTTATTCTACCTAGCTTTACTCTTGCTTATATATCCTCCGTCTCCAATCTATTTTATTTTACTTATTAATTTACATTTCGTTGAATATCTTAACCTTAATATGCATTTGGTTTTACGAAAAACAAACTATAATATATTTATTTTGGGGAATTGTTATTAGCACTCCAAAAATCTCATTTCGTACTCCAAATTTTCTATAATTAAAAATAAAAATACATTTGTGAAGAGTGTAGAATGAGATTTTTATAGTGCTAATAACAGTTCCTTTTTTTTTTTTTTTCTGAACTACTCCACACTAGAAATCGTTTAATTATCTCTTCAGCACGTTTAATTATCTCTTTAGCATTTTCCGATAGTCTAGTTATAACTTATAAACTAGATTGGTTAGAAATTGTAGGCTTTTAATTAAGATATTCATCAGAAACCCTAACTTGTTCACACAACCTTTAAGGGTGCATTTGTTGCACCGGACTACCTTGGACTGAACTAGCTTCAGGGACTAAGTTGGACTGGCTTAGACCAGACCAAATTGGACTTAGCGAAGCATTTGATGCAATATCGGTCTAAAAAACAGGATAATTAATTAACTATAATATTATATTAATTAATGCATATATGGTAATATTTTATATTATTTAATGTATACGTAATATTATTTTATAGTATTTAATGCATATTTATTATTTATTCACCTTTTACTTTTTTACACCTAAAAGACTATCCCTTGCGCAGCATCGTTTCTTTTCTTCTACCTCTGGCTCTCTGCCACATTTCTTCTTTTCTCCCTCTTTTTCCTGTAAAACGCGGGTGTAAAGCTCATCGCAAATCCTTCAAAACAAGCTCATCCTCTTCACCCTCTTATCGTCATCAAGTATCTCCACCTTCCTCCTCCTTTTTTTCCCAAAAATTTTCGGATCTCTCTCCTCCCTCTGATACATGCGTTGGCTTCTCAGCTTGCAAAGCCATCTCAAAATTTTCTGGCAATGTGTGGATTTTGAATTTTGGGGTTGAATTTTGTTGTTATTTATTTCACGTTATTTTCTTTTTAAATTTTGGTGGTTGGATTTAGGTTTGGGCAGTGGGTGGGTGGGGCTTTGTTTTAGATCTAGGCGGTGATTAAAGGGTGTTGCAGAGGAACAATTTGCAGACGACGTAGCTGGCAAATGGAGCAAGTTTGGGGACAAGACTAGCAATCCCATACATATTAGGGATCCTCGCTAAGACTACCTAGCAAAAGACTTGGTTGGTGCGGGTCCGACCTAGTCTCATTAATGGTAATCCTTGTCCGCATCAAACACCAGCTAGCAATCCCAACTAAGCTAGTCCAATCCAAAGACGTTTGATGAGGGCAAACAAACGCCCCCTAAAGGTCTAGCAGTTAGGTCCTTGGTTTGCTCCCAAGTGGTCTGGGATTCGACTCTCCCCCACGGTACCCACCTAACAAATGTTAGAGTTTCTCGCTCCCTAAATGGTGTGGGGTCAAGCAGGGGACCTTGTGATTAATCGAGTCAAAGACACAAATAAACAAGTTTAAAAAAAAGAACAAAATACCATCAAGCACTAAAAGTTTGAAGTATACTTTGCTTCAAACTACAGGTCAAACTTTAAAAACATTAGTGAACAAAGTTTGCTTGTCAAAGGTATTTGAGTTGAAGGAAATTAACAACATACGACGATGGAACTTCATTACATAAACCGTTAATAGGGGGCATACTAGAATGAAACTTCATATAAAAGCCTTAGGATGACTTCGGAGCAATCACACAGAAATCGTGCTCATCTTCACGGTTGATAGGTGCTCATAGCAAAAACACATACCACGGAAACGTTGTTTCTTCTTTTACCCAGAACAAGTAACATCTTGCAAAATAATCGGCATAAAACACGAAGCATAGACGTAAAACAAATGTTCCGATGATCTACCCCCACATTAAAAGCATTTTCATTGGGCAGGCAGAAGGCAGGTGAAAAAAGGAAGGGGAATAAAATTACCTGAATGCATCTTTTGCGGTCAAAATTCACCAAAACGTTCCCCAACCATATTTGGAAACAACATCATCAAAAGGGAGAATCTTAAGGCTTAGGGACAGTAACATTCAGAATTTTCACGTCTACTTGGGGCCTTTCTCCCCTGTCTGTCTTCACTTTTTCTATAGCCTGCCAAGTGCCAACAATAAGATGATTGTCAGACGTTGATTGATCAGTCGCACTGGGGGACCTCATACTAGTCGTGATTCCCAAGTAAAAGGTATGCTTAAATGCCCATCATCATAGGATAGTTTCCAAGTTTGCAAGGGAAAATAATGTCTTTTGCCACATAACATTTTCCTCCCTGGAGTGACTTAAATCAATGAATAATTTCTAGGCAACTTTAAATCTGTCCCTCTCATCCTCCCTCCCTCCCGCCCCTCTCGAGAAGACTGCACCAGCACATGATGACACCGGACTCGCCCCATCCCCCAGTCTCAAGGAGAAAAAGGGACCACATGCAGATGACAAACATAAAATTTAAGGCTCAATCGTACCTGCACAACATCCATCCCCTTGATAACTCTGCCAAAAACTGTGTGCTTGTTGTCAAGCCAAGGAGTTGCCACTGTGGTGATAAAGAACTGAGATCCATTTGTGTTTTCTCCCGCATTTGCCATTGACACAGTGAAAGGCCGGTCATGTCGTAAACTGCAAGGAAAGAAACATTTACATCAAAGAATACTTACACTTTAGAACTGTAACAAAACAAAAAATTGTGCGAGCAAACAGACAAAATTAGAAACTTTGTCTTCATTACAATCTCACTTGATCCATGAAATTAAACCTTTTACCTTTTATGAAATTCATCCTCAAACTCCCGTCCCCAAATGGATTGCCCACCAGTACCATCTCCTAAAGGATCTCCCGTTTGTATCATGAAACCTTTGATGACTCGATGAAATATGAGGTTATCATAATAGCCATTTCGGCAGTGTGTTGTGAAGTTCTCCACAGTTTTTGGACATTCCTCTGGATACAGTTTCATGTGTATGTCACCCATTGTAGTACGCAAAATCTGATGGGGAAGAAGGAAAGAGAATATTAGACACCTGTAAGGCTATAACACATCCCAAATAATACAGCTAAATAGAACATGATTAAAACAAAGCAATGCTGAACCCATCTTTCATGAGATTCAGGCCGCATAATTAAGAGAAGAAGATACACATCTAAAGATCCATACCAAAAAAAAAAAAAAAAAAAACCAGAAAAGTGGATTTATTCGTGTTTTATGTAGAAAAGACAGTGAACTTATGTGACACTAACTAGCAAAGATAATATGACATAAAAATTTCCAGTAACTTAATTATTTGGTTATTTGGTTCATTCAATTATTAATAAATTCCAGTACATTAATAATTTCCGTATGCTGGAATGTATAACAAGAACTTCATCTTGATTTTCTCATAAAGACAAATAATACTCCTTTTCTGAGAGAGGAAAGACCAAACAGGATGGCATACCAAGAAGATAGGAAAAAGAAAAAAGGAGTCCAATATGCTTTACAAACAAAAAACATGCAAAACCTATATTTCCTCTTTTTACTCCTTTTTATCTCCCCTTTGCTTTCTAATTCGAGGACAACAGCATAGTAAGAAAAGAGAACAGAAAGGAAGTGTACCATTTGAATTTCAGTTTCCTATTCGTAGAATTATTTTACAAGAGAATCAAGCGTTATTATTGAAAAATTAAGAAAAGTAGGAAGTAAAATTGAGAAAAGACCATCAAATCCAACATACAAGGTAAAAGAAAACTTACCACATTGTCAGGAAGAGATGTTGAGGATGATTTACCAATCTCTGATGCAGCCAAGAGTTCATCAGCAGGAGGCTTTTCATTGAATATATCTCTTCCCTTAGTTGCATCTTCAGGCTCCTCTGGTTCTCTCTGACTGAAGAGAGCACAAGGAAGTCAGATTATATCAAATTAGAAATGTAGAATCACAGTTCCCAAAGGAATACCACAATAACTATATGAATATTTCAATCCTATGATTCCAAATGACAATCCAATTTCTTCTTTCCAAGAACTTTTACCATTATCAAGATTTCCTCAAGTACAGATCTGGGCCAGAAAAATATCAGCATGTAGTAACAACTTGGGCATCCAATCATCATTAGCCATGTAGTAATTTAAAAACAGCAAAAATGAACCAATAGTATATGCTTAAAAGAAAAACCAATATCGGACAAGTGTCTTCGAGGTTCTCTAAAAGTATTTTAGTACCTGAATAGATAGATTCTGTGTTTTTTGAAAGCACAACATATGAGAGTAGGATCTGTCAAAGGCTCTTTGCTTTCATTAACATTTGCTGCAGCAGCAGGGATTTTTCTAACTTTTTTACTGCTTTTGTCACCTTGGTATAAGGCAATTCTCAAAAACCTATCATTATTCTCCACTTTTCCGAGAATTCGAGAAACTTTATTAGTGTGTAAATTTACCACCTGAAATTGCAAAACAAAATTAAAATAGAACAAATTAGTTTCCTTTACTCAAGAGAAGTAATGGGAAGGGGGAGGGGATTATATGACTCTTATATTACTTTTATTCCAAGGAGAGTTGCATAGATGAGAAAATTTGAGCTTTCATCAAAAACTGCATTCGGCTGTGGGGCAGATTCTGTTTTCTCAATTTCCCTCTCAACAGCCATTCTTCGCCCAAAGTCGATGGCTTCCAGCTGGTACAAAGGCACATCACTTCTCTGGAGATCTTGGGCCACCTAATCAGCACAGGATACTTAATCAATATAAGTGTTAAAAAAACAAAAGATTCTCAGAAACATTAGAGATTAACATCCTTACAAAAAATGTTCAAGTAAAAAACTGATGTTACCTCAAGAGATTCATCATAAACTCGTCGTAGTTTGCCTGTGCTAAACCAAAATACACGTATCCTGCGATCGGGCGAAGTAATCGAAAATTGCTTACCATCTGGGCTAACCTGAGGAACCAAAGAGATTCTGTAACAAACTTCTTTTGTCATACATCATCTATTAAGAAAGAGTGAAACAAAACAAAAGACAAGTTTGAGCTTTTATCTAAAGATAGAAATAGGAGGAGTTCATACTCCATGAGAATCAAATGCCCGAAAAAGGTCAAATCGATTTCCAGATCTATATTCTTATGAGATGGATTGCGCAGATTACCTCGATAGAAGAAACGGTAGTTTTGCATTTCGGGATTTCAAACAGATTAGTATCACTTTTCATTCTGAATTTCACCCTACAAGCACCACATGAAAGCAGTATGGTTCTATTAGGAAGTGGAGTGGACAACTTAAACACCTTATTAGTAAATCATTAAAGAACAGATGTAATCAGAATTGTGTTATTTGCTATGCTAATGAGAGGAAAGAGAACAGAGAACAAAAAGTATGCACTCAAAATGTAATTCCCAACAAGGTTTGTGAAAAACAGCACATGTTGAATTCTCACTAGTAGTCTCTCTACTTTCTAAAAGGCTGTGCTTAGTTATATTTGACTACGATAAAGGTAAGCAAAACTTGGTAAGTTTGACTGCTCTGACTGCAACTGTAGTACTACATCATCTTACAGTCTTACTGCTATTTTCTAACAAAATCATTCTTATAGGAATTGTGAATGCTGATCATATGAACTTATGATCCTCATAATGTTTTCCACATAAAAATTTGGTGTATTTTTAATTTTTTATACAGTTTCTCTACCAATTTGATGAAGGAAAATTATCATATTAACATGCCAAAGTGCACATACCCAGTCTCTGGAAACTTAAGGGTGTCAGGACTCCAATACTCAACCATTCCCTGTTGATCAGCTGAAATCACTGTATCAAATACAGGATTATACCTCATAACTTTCACTGGGCCCAAATGTACCTGAGGAATGGAATAAGAAATGAAATGGAAAACAAAATTGGAAGTTCAATTTATTTAACCTAGGTATGAATTTTTCTAATAAAAAAATATGACTGAGGTGGAAGGAATGCCAACATTGCAACAACATACCTCTCTGAAGATAATAGGTTCATTTGTACCAGATCGTGCATCGAAAATGTGTACATATGATGAGTCCCTGTCACTGATGGCAAGCCTGGCTTTGACATCCCCTTGTTTGTAGACCCACTCAACAGCACCAGGAACAAACTCTGTGCGAATCATGACCATCATATCATAGTTGACTACGTCATATATCTTCACAGATTTGTCATTTGAAATTGTACAGCAAAGCAAACCATCAACACTAACCTGCATAGCTGAACAAGTCATGGCTCATGACTACAATAACAGGAAGACTTGAAATCTACATACAATCACTAATAACCAACAAAACCAAAATGGTAGGCTGGCTCAGCCAAATAAGTAGGTGTGCAATTACAAACCAAATACAAAAAATCCTCAAATATCTACACACACAAATCAGGACAGTCCTGTATATGACATGAGTAATAGGAACTAAGAGAAACATGGGAACTAAACATCAGTTATGGACAAACTTTAGTCATTACCATCAGAATCTGAAATTTGAGGACACAGCATCAGATATCATTTTTATTTGAGTTTTTATCACGAACAGTCCCTGAAATTGACAGAACTCCTCATTTTGGTTCCTACAACTCAAAATCAATAAATATCGTCCTGAAATTAACTACCACACATCAATTTGGTCCTTCCATTAAAATTTTGTTAGTAATTCTGTTACATTGCTGACATGCACAGATGTGGGGTCTACCAGTCCAATCAAATAGGGTGACATGGATTATAAACAATAGTCAATTATTTTAAACAATTTAGAGTCCTAAAATTTATAAAATAAAGTAAAAAGGGAAAATTTCACAATGCTACCATCTCAAGCAAAAGACCGGCACTGCTGCCATCTCCAGTGAAAGGAATAGCTTGAATTGTTCCCAAATGCAATTGGCCAGTTCTCCATTCAAGAACGTTTCTGCAAAGTTCGCATCTTTTGTAGATTTGGGAAATTTTCGGATCTTGAAATTTGAGACCCATTTGGCTGTTCTCTGATGTGCTAAAGACTGAAGTTGTTTGGTGGTAGGCAGGAGACTGAAGTTGTTTGGTGGTAGGCACGAGTTGAACTGCTGGAGGAGGAACAGACTGATTTCAAGACTTGGGTGGCTGTTCCGAAGAGGAATGTGAAGACGGATGATAGAGGTTCAGACTGCTTGGAGGATTTGGTGGAGTTTATGAATTTGAGTTTGGTGGTTGAGAGATGCATGGCGTTGTCGACGAGTTCATCGAGGTTTTTTTTTTTCTTTCTATTTTTTCTGTTTACAATAAGTTTTATTTTTTATTTTTGGGCTCAATTATGTGCCACATCAACAAAGTACAGAATTACCAACGAATTTTAATGGAAGGACCAATTAATTGTGCGGTGGTCAATTTCAATGACGAAATTAATTGATTTTGAATTTCAAGGACCAAAATGAGGAGATAAGTCAATTTCAAGGACTGTTCGTGATAAAAATCCTTTTTATTTAGTACCAATATTGTGGATCGAAAAAAAGGAAAAATAAAAACCACAGCTAACTTTGAATATCATGAGTAACAGGATGACCACTAGTTCGCTACACAATAAACTGAGCGTACATAGCTTGTCTGCTTGACAAACAAATCCTCTATCAAACAGGATTAGAAACATATAGCTGTACCTCATTAATTAGAGAGCTAAAGTTTCAGCTGACTGTGATTAATACAACCTAACACATATTCAGGAACCCTAAGTTGCACGCACAAACTAAAACAGGAGATTAATATGCAGCTTTTATGCGTATGCTGCTGTATAAGGATAAACTACTTCTGATTGCATGTTCAGAGTCAGCCCAATATTTAGAACGAAAGCAGTGATCAATCTAAAAGTAAAATCCAGCATGAGTACACATGTAGTAATGTCAAGGAATAACTCACAGCTAAGCCTCAATTGGACCAAGGTGGGACCTAAAATGCTTTGCAAATTCAATGCCAATAGCCTTTTTCTTCCAAAACTTCAAATGTCCTGGTAGGAAAAAATAAACAAAGAACAAAAAACAAGAATAAGGAATGGAAAATAGCTTAGAAATCGAAGAAAACCAAAAAGATCATAACGCAAGATCTTATGAGTAGTATCACCAATTTCCCAGTCCAGGTAGTAATATTAATTAGATTGCATCTATTTAGAGGGCTATAACATATAAATTCAGGCCGTATTACTGCAATGCTAACTGACAGAAGGAAATTTATACCCATCCTTTTATTTACACACTTATTTTGAAAAGTGGGAGAGTACATTCCTTGATATTTCAGGATGTAATCATTGACATAGTATGCTAGCTATGCAAATCTCATTCGACTCAAATGCACACTTCATCTTAAATGCCTACTTCCATTTTACTAAAACACACAGGAGTCAACATTAGGCTAAAGAATCTTTTCTCTTTCTTGCACACATATACATACTATTAGGCTACAAATGGGGCTCGTTTGGTACACATGATTGGACTGGAATGGAAAACTCTCAAATCTCAAGGTATGTTGAAGGTGGAAGTGAATGGTTTTTCATTTGCTGGGGATTAGAAGAAGATTAGCTATGAAGGAAATTCATCCCTTCTAATCCTACCATTTTAAGGAGGATTGGATGGATAAGTTTTCGTCATGAGTAATCCACCTTCTATCATCTAGGTGGTCACAATTTTTATAATTTCTCCCTTCAACATACCTTTAATTGAGTAGGTTATACATTCTAATCCAATCATGTGAATCAAACAAGCCCTTGGTCCCTAAAGTTCGATTGGATTGGATAGCTCACTAGATTAAAGGTATTTTGAAAGATGAAATGGAGGCCAACTTCAAAAATTGGTCTATGTTGAAGGTAAAACAGTGGATTAGTCATGACTAGTCCATCTAATTCTTTCCACTAGAACAAAATTTGGAAGTTGGCCTTCATTTCTTAATTCAACATACCTTGAATGTGTTAACTTATCTAATCCAATCCAATCCTTAGCACCAAACGTGGCCGTAGAATATGTGCCACCATGCCTTGCATTAAACTCTTACTCACCACAATGTCATCAAAACCTAGCAACCACTGCTTAGGCTACAACTCAGTATCGTACCCTGGTACCCACATCACTCTATATGGATGTGCACATGAATCACATTAGTCTTATTGTTTGCACAAGAGTAGTAAACTACGTAGTATTTAGACCTTTGGATGGCAATAACTAACCTCAACAAGCCTTTGAAAAATCAGCATGGACACATAGCCAATTCATTAATTAACACTATATATACACAAGTAGCTGATGACATGCACGATACAAGAGGAATAATAGGACTTGGCAAAAACAGTATCTTGCTATCATTACCATCAACACTTCCAGTTACAACAAAATCCGCTGACGACACAGCAACATGCGTAACAACGTCCCGGTGCATATAACTTTTCTCGTACCTGTTTATGCCACAAAATAAGAGAAGGAAAGAACATGAGAATTGTTTAACCGGACGACCAATGCTATTGGCGGGGGGGAACATAAACAATCATTATTAAGAGTTTGAATCCAACTCATTCCAGCCAAAACAACAGGGATCATAACACATGGAATTTGCTTAATTAACATAAGCTGAGTTCCCTAGGGTTTTAGGGTTTATGAAGCCAAACAACAAATGGCATTTTCGAATCGAAACTGGATTTTCAAACTACAACTGAAATTGTAACGTATGATTACTGAAATTCCAAATTAAAACTACGAGTTGGACCAAAAAGCAATCAGAGCGTGAAAGAGGGAAAAATCAATACATACATTTGAGCGGAGGGAAGAGCATCGAGGTAGGCGTGCTCGAACTGGAGAGGCCGCTTGGATCGAGCGCGAGGGGGTGGGGGTGGGCCGGGACCCACCATGGGCTCTTCCTCGGTCTCCGCCACGGCCGAGTTCGCGTTGCCGTTCTGGGGTTCCTCTGCGTATGTTGGTAGGGTTTCTCCTCCGTTCTGAGGTTCCTCCATGTTTGCTTGCTGCTAGGGTTGTTGCTCGAGACGAAAGACTGCAATCGCACTGAAGCAGTAGGTTTCGAAGGCGAAGCTTGAATTGTTGGAGTGAAAGGAAGGCACTGGAATTCTGGATTTTTAATTTAAAAGGGACGATGAAACACCGCCGCCATTTTTCACACGGGGATCTGGACCGTTACCGGTTGGGCTATTTTAGCCCGAAAATGGTCTGGACTCTTTGGGCCTAACAGCTGCTTTTAATAAGTAACTAGCATATGATTAAAACAAATAGGACTGACTAAATGTTACAAAAGCAACATAAAAAGTCCTAATTTTACCCATATACTAAAATCCGTCTAGGTCCCGTCCTAGCCGGCTGCTCGACCTAGCGTCTAGTGTCTTTATAACCTTACGTACACGTAAGGAATCGGAAAAGTATAAGTTTTTCCTTGAATTCATAACCAAATACCTAAAAATCAAAAATTAGATCGATTAGGGAAGACTAGTTAATCTGATTCTCTTTTCTTACTTTCTCTATTTTAAGTTCTCTTGTTCTTGCAAGTGACCTTTTACCAGAGTGGTAGAAAGGTGATAGCTCCTGCATGACAATGTAGGTACAAACCATGTCGTTATCTAATCTAACATCTAATGTAACAAAATCCATCGTTTGACAAAAAAAAAAAAAATTTCTCTTGTTCCTTTATTTTTTATCTATTATTGTTGACTAAACATGCTTAAAGAAGAAGGAGGAGGTTTTGAAGTCGGGTTCAGGATGTAGCGGATTGAAGATGATTACTTACTCACCAAGATAATTCACCACTTGCACAATTGTTTTTTTATTTTTCACATTTAGTGCTTGAGATATGATAAAGTATTTGTGGTGAAGGTGGAATGAAGAAAGGTGATGAGAGAGGGCGAAGAGATGAGGGAGGAAATAATGAAAATGAAAACAACTTAAAATGATTTTTTATTTTTACAAATATATGATAGAATAACATTTTTGAAAACCAAATGGTTATCATTGGGGCCCTTAGATTGCCATAAGCAGGAGAAATTTTTACGTGACACAAGGTGATACATCACGTATTTCAAGGTATATTTTGAGGGTATATAAGTGGATGACAAGGTTGATATATCATATTTTAGGGTATATTTTTTTAATATACCTCCACTTATATTATGACATGGTGTATTGTCTTGTGTTCTCGGCACACCGAAAAATCTCTAATATGCCATGCTTGCTCTCAAGTGAACATTGAAAACCTATTCTAGTATTAAGAGTTGGATTAGTCCAAATGGTGCGGGAGCATGACTTAGCAATTAGTATTAGGTTATGTTGATAGTTTGTTTTTCACCAATGCAACAAACGAAAAACTTATGCTAGTTTGGTATTTCGTTGGAAGGCCTTGTTGGCTGATGGTTGCTTTGTTGGACCGTTAAAAATAGTGTGCACAAAGCCTTCCAAGAAGGACTAGGCTTCATATCCCTGGAAATGAGTGTAGATCATTTAAAAATTCTCTCCTGCACATTTTTTTTGCTACAAGTGAGTAGTTGAGATTGAATTAAATGAGCTATAGTTAAATCTCAATATTTCTTTTTTCCCAAAATTATGGGCAGATAAGCCTTGCTCGTAGATCTTTTAGGCTTCGTTTGGTGGACTAGATGGGATAGGTTATGATCAATTAAAATGAACTTGAGTCCAGCTCATTCTTATGTGTTAAAATGCGAGATGGATAGATTGAACAAGATGGGTTATGAACCTACAGTATAGTGGGTTATCTAACCTATCCTTACAAGTCTCTGCCTAATCCAATCTTATCCATAAAGCTCAATCTCATCCATGATAGGAATCTAAGTAGTTAAAGATTGTTATATGGCAATTGGGATAGTGTCCAGTGTCATATTAGTGAATAAGTTGTATAAGTTGTAAAAGTTGTTAGTTTGTTAGTTGTAGTGAAGGTTGTTATGACATGTTGCTACATAGCTTGGATTGTAATATACAAAGAGGTTTTTATGAAAATAGTATTGAATTCATTCTATTCATCTTCTCTATGTTTCTATGGCAGTTTATGAGTTAAGGTTGATCCAGGGTCTATCATTGGTATAGAGCCGATAGTGATCTTTCATCCCTTCTATGTGCCCATGACTCGTTCTTCAACAAAGAAAGCCATGCAATCACAGAATCATCTTGTTGCTATAAACAACACTCTCAACAGACTGCTTCAAAGATTTGATGCCATGGAAGTACACTATGATTCATCAAATGCTCAATTTGAAAAGTTCCATCGTGATTTTGTGGAGAAATGCAATATGGTTTTTCTTGGTGATTCATCGGATGCAACTCTATCATATCTTAATTTGCATGATGATGCAAGACACCATCAATTCAATCGCCATGATTTAAGCTTCCAACCACGACCTCCATTGGTGAAACTGGATTTTCCTCGCTTTCATGAAGGAGATGATCCTCTTATATGGATTTAAAAAGCAGAACATTATTATGAGTACTTCGACATTCTTACAGACAATAAAGTGCGTATTGATTCCTTCCACATGGAAAACGAAGCGTTGCAGTGGTTTCAATGGTTAATTGTGTTAAGAATTACTCTAAATGGGAGGACTTCATTAAGAATTTTTGTCATGAATTTGGTTCATCTGATCTTATTGATTGCACTGAGAACTTAGTGAAAGCTTCGCCAGAATGGTTTACTCAGAGATTATATCATGGAATTTCGACGGATTGGCAAATCGTATTATGGAAATGACTCCTATGATTATTAAAAAGCTACTTCATTGAAGGGTTGAAACCAAAAATTCATCCTGATGTCAAGATTTTGCGACCCTATGATGTTCATGAAGCTATTGCATATTCTCACCAAGTAGATGTTAAATTGGCAGAGCTCAAGGTAAGATCATTTTCAAAAATCATTCTTCTGCATCACAATTCAAGCCTACACATCTATCTGATATTACCAAATACCAAAAACTGAGTCATCCTTAGAAGATTAATAGCTGCAGAAATTGAGTTTCGAAGGAAAAATAGACTATATTTCAATTGTGATGAGAAATTATCTAATGAACATGTGTGCTGGTCCAAAAAGGTAAGTTTTACTTATGGATGTGTATGAAATTGGAGATCTTACTGAACATAACTTTAATGATAATGAAGAACCTGAAGTCACTGCTTGTGCAGTTTATGGTATGTTTGTCCCAAAGTCTATCAGAACTATGAAAGTGATAGATTCAGGAAACTCACACAATTTCATTGATATTTCCTTAGTAAAGCAATTGGAAGGTCACTTGGATACTACATATCCATTTACTGTTAAGATTGCAAATGAGGGTTCTCTCACCAGCACTAGATGTTTAGCACAAGTCTCTATTCAAATTCAAAATTATGCAGCTATGTTGGATTTCTATGCTCTCTCTTTGGGAGGTTGTGATATTGTTCTTCGAGTTCAATGATTGAGAACAATATGACCAATTTTATGGGATTTTGATAAGATGATCATGTAATTTGTTGTTGAAAATACCACATTCTCTATCACAATTCCTCAAGCTTAAGGTCCTCAATCCATTTCTTCCTTACAAATGGATAAGTTACTTAATCATGATCACTGTTTAAGAGTTGCATTGTTTGTTTTACAAGTCAGTGAGGATACTACAACTACTTTAACTCTCTCTTAGTTGGATTCTACATAAGAAACTGATCTATAAAGCCTTGTTAGCACAATATAAGCCTATCTTTCAAAACCCATCTGGGTTACCTCCATCAAGATCTCATGATCACAGGATACCATTAACAGAAGGTTGCAAATCTCCTAATGCAAGACCCTACAAGTATGGGCCATTCCAAAAGACAAAGATAAAGATATGTGTCAAGGAATTGTTGGATTTTGGTTTTATAAAATCAAGTCATAACCCTTTTCTCATCTCTAGTTTTGTTGGTGAAGCAAAAGAGAGTACTTGGAGAATGTGCATGGACTATAGGGCACTCAATCTATTGATAGTTAAAGATAAGTACCCTATATCATTGATTGATGAGCTATTGGATGAACTCTTTGGTGCATCATATTTCTCAAAGTTGGATCATAGATCAGGTTATCACTATATTCGTATGCATCCCAAAGATATTAATAAAACTATGTTAGAACTCATTAAGGACATTATGAGTTCCTAGTTATGCCTTTTGGCTTAACAAATGCACCGGCATCATTCCAAGGCCTAATGAATGGCATTTTCAAGCCTTATATAAGGAAATTTATATTAGTCTTCTTTGATGATATTCTGATATATAGTCTTTTGGGAATTACACCTGCATTGTGGATGCAAATTTCTTCCTCTTTGATCTTGGACAAAATTGCACTTACAAAACAATTAACACCTTTAGTCAAGGCCAAGAGCCTCATGCGC